TAATTGCAGAGGTAACCTGTACCTACGAGGCTTTTGAGAATTGTTGTGCATCTGAGAGAGAGCGCAGCGAGAATAATTAATATTCTCCGTCATTCGCAGTTCCTGAAGGTCTGAACAGTCCCCATGTTTTATCATCCTGAAATGTTGTTAAATGTTAATGGGAACCTATTTTTACATGGGCCATTCCAGCACACTCCCAACCCCCCTGAATAAAATATTACACTGGCCAATACTTGTGAATCCCTTGTTCTATGATTGCAGATACATTCAGTGTTTGGGATGGATGACTTCTATTCACTAAAGGTGTGACTCTTGAATTGCCCTGTTTCAACGTCTGTATGCCATCAAGCTACTTTTCTGTTTTTCTCTCGTACCCAGAGCCGATCTTCCCTATATGCAAAATACGCAAGCTGCGTAGGGCCCCCGAAACACCAGGGGGCCCCCTTGCTCTCAAAGATGATTTAATTTTAGTTTTGTTTTTGAATTTGACCAGCGGTTATGAAAACATGAATGATAATTTCTTATAATGCACAATCTCAAATTGCATAAGTCCTCACAATATACAATTATATAATACTTTTTTTTTTTCTCACGATACAATACTAATAGCAGGGATCTGCCTGAAACTGAATAACAAATTCCACTAAATAATGGATACATATTTGATAAAGCATTTTTTTATATATTGTAATATAAATAACATTAATGAATACAGTGTGAAGTTTAGAAATAAAAAAAATGCACATTGTGCAATCAGATCAGATCAGACTGCTCAAATCAGATCAAATTTTATTAAACATTCAGTAAAAAATAGTAATATTAAGAAATAATATTATAATTTAAAATGAACTGTTCAAATAAATCATTTAGGGCTCAGGAAATTCTCATTATTATCATAATCGAAAACTGTGCTGTGTAATATTTTTTGTGGAATCTGGGATATTTATTTATTTATTTATTTATTGTTGTTGTTGTTGTTTTGTTTAATGTATTTATTTATTTATTTCCCCCAGGATTCACTGATGAATATAATGTTCAAAAGGACAACATTTATTTGATAATAGAACTTGTACATTATATAAAATTATATATAAAATAAGTTTTCTGAGGCATGAGAGAAATTGCAACTTGCAGACTGTAGTGGATATGTTAGCTCTCTGTTGTGCACTTGCTGCATTTTCAATTCCTCTCATTCTCCAATGATCAGCAAAAAAGTGAGCAGCTCTACCCTATGTGTATGTGGATTGTGTTTAGACTCCTGAGGAGGGATTTACAATCATTCATACAATCGGATTTACAACATTTCCTAGAGAATCAACTAGATATTTTTTTTCTTGTCTCAACATTTGTTTAAGGATGAAATAAAAGCAGATTTTACTAAGGGGAGGAGAATGAGAGAAAACATCATATTCTTCCTACATCATACAGAGTGTGGAAATAATGCCTACAACAGGAAACTTTTGTCTCATTTTAGCAACTCCCAATACAGGCATTCTTGCAACAAGGCCACAAGGGAGTACTATAGAGAAAGAGCGAGAGAGAGAGAAGGAATGATAGATAATGCATATGAAAGAGAGCATGTGAGAGAATGGTTATGCAACATTCACAAGAGACAGAAGGTAGGGAGACAAAAATAAACTTTTGCCTTTTTATGCCTATCGTGACGTATGCTTATAACCTAAAAGAGACACTCATAAAACATGCGGAAGACCTTGGTCATTAGTCACCAGGTGTGCATGAACTTATAAACATGCAAACACACACATACGTCGGGCCTTTAATGAATTAGCTTGTCCTAGGCAATGACATTACCACTGTAACCTGACTATATCAGCTTTTTATCCAAAGCACAAAGGGATATATGCTGAAAAGACATCCTTAAATTAGCACAGAGTTGCTGTGACTTTACCACTAATGGCAAGAGATGTTGCTTTATCCTGTACGTGTACATCCTGTTTCCTGCCCTGAATCTTGTTGAAAAACAAGGAAACAGCTTTGCGTGCATCAGCGTAATAATTTCAGCTCATGAACTAAACTGATTTTGCAAAATAAACGAAACTGTAAGTGATGGAATACACGGCTAAATATAAAATGGCATTAGATACACTACCATTCAAAACTTTGAGGTCAGTCAGTAGTCAAGTTATTTAGTTTTTCTGTGAAAGAAATTATTACATTTGTTCACCCAAGGATTCATTAAATCAATCAAAAGTGACAGTAAATAATGTTATAGAATATAATGTTAGAGTAGAGTATAAGAGTGTAATAAAGTATAATGTTAGGTATCTATTTCAAATAAGTGCTGTTCTTTTGATCTTCCTATTATTATTATTATTATTATTATTATTATTATTATAAATGTTCCCAAATCAGCATATTGGAATTATTTCTGAAGGATCATGTGACAAAGACGACTAGAGTAATGGCTGCTGAAAATGTATCCATTACATGAATAAATTGCATTATAAAATATATTAAATAGAAAACAGACATCATCACATGGCCAACCAGGAATATAACATAAGCCAAAAATCATAATCTGATCATAAAGACATTTTGAGACCCTTGAACAATAGCATAAGATATCCCCTTACATGTGTGTACTATAAAGTGAAGCATATGATTATTAATATGTCAGTCTTCCTATTTCCTCAAGACAGGGTCAAGAAAAATAAAAATCTGAATCGCAGCAGGCAGCTATTTGAAGTCCTATTCAAATTTAAATTATTATTCGGGTTATTTGTCAGCCAACAATGAAAAAATAAATAAAATCAGTTTGCTTGGTAGATAAGAGCATTTTCAAGCTATCACCCATTTTTAGTAAATTACCATTTTTTTAATTGCTATTTTTAAAATCCCTTTCCTTTTTTGCTGGATTTAGAGTTGTAACTTTCAGGTTTCAGGTCTTTTTTTACTTGTCAAACTTGGTGGCTACACCCTGTCACTTCACCTGCTGCCCCTTATGTTATGCCTCTTTATTCATCCTTCTCTAGCACCTTTCCTTTCATATGTTTCCTTTTTGGTCTCTCTTTCATGAGTGCCCGTGTCACACATCATTGGTGGCCCTACAGAAGCAGGATGTGAATCCTAGCCATGGTACAATCCCTCTTTGTAGGAGACGCCAAAACAGCTTGTCTGCAGTATTCAGCTTTACAGCTCAAGGCTCTCCTCCCAGACCAAGACCACCATGTCTCGTCCCCCCGACCCCAAGCTTCCGGTTTTCTACACTAGGTGGATTAATTGTAATTTGCAATGTCGCACCCTCACAGTCATCTGAGGCGAACAATCCAAAATGGCCGCCGTGTTGCTGTGAGAGTGTGTTGGGATTTGCTGTGCTGTCATCTCGGTGGGGTGCTGAGGGGAAACGCAAAAGCCCCCCTGACAGGCTTTGATGTGCGTTGGTGATTATTGAGGCTAATCAGGAGTACCATCAGCGAGCTAGCAGCAAGCCACTGCTTTGTTTGTGTTCTTTAATGCTAATCACTGTGGCTAACACATTAGGCACTTTGATTTATTGGCTCAAGGACAAGGCTTCTTTATAAGTGTATCTGAACAGTGGTAAAGGGGTTTATCATTATTAATTAATGTGCACTCCAAGCAGGCTTAGCGGCCATTGTTTCTGCACAGTGTATCCGTATAGACTAAAGTATACAGACTGCTACACATCTATTAAGTTGAGTTGCACTAGTGCTCCAATTACCAATAGTGCTGAAAGGACTAGCATAGATGTTTTACCATGTTTTGGATACTGTTAGACTACCTAATAATCCAAAGCAGCAGGGTTGCTGAAAAACAGATTGGCTGTTAGTGTTTTAAATATGTTTGCTAAAACAGGTCTTCTTTGTCAGTTACGAAGATGTAAGTTACAACATACCGTTGACGAATACATGATGGGAAAAACATAACAGCGCAGAATATTAACAATGTACTGTTAACAATGCACAACACTGAAGAAGAAAAATCTAAAAACAATATGATATATCTAGATATATCAATCATAGTCAGTAATGTCAGGGATTGACCTGCTTGAGCTGCATGAGCTGAAGCAGAACAGTGAATGAACATCTGCAAACTGAAGCGCTGCTAGCAGGTTAATAAATACCACATTTAATAACATATTTTTACTCCAAACTCACTTCATAACGTCAGTCGAGTGTTTGAAATAAATCCTTCTGTGAGATGATGTGGCTTCTTACACAGAATAAGGCACGCAACATATTTCATAGTATTTAAGCAGTGATAAAGGCATTGCATTATAAATATACTTTATTTTAATAAAAAAAAATGATAATAATAATAACTCCGATAAACCGTATATTGCCGTAGTCGTGAGTTTAATAGTCAAGTTGAATCAATGAAAGCAGTTGAATCTTCTGTTTATTCAGCTGCAGCGATAGGCATTTCCTGGGTTTCTTCAGCAAGGGGGATTTATCGTGCAGCCCTATACACAACATAAAAGTAATATTGCAAACTCCCTCCACAGAATGATGGATGGATGGATGGATGCTAAAGGTCAACAGAGGCCGAATACAAATGAACCGGAACATGAAGCATGTGTACAGTGGGAGTTTAGGGAAGCACCTGACCCTGTGTACTTCTCTGCATTTGTGCTTGACAAAGAATATGTGCCTGTGTGCTTGCTCTATTCATCTTAGTGATCTACACTCAGCCCTGTCGCATATATCAAGAGTTCAAGCTAGAATCCCCTGCACACTCACTCCAGCATCACAGCTGGTACCTGTGATGACAGACCATGGTCTGAAACCATGCCAATTTACACTTTCTGTCAGCATGCTGCGTGTGCTGGCATTTGATGGAGAGTAGTACAGTAGTATAAATGTCCTTAATTTTTATCATCTATAGCTTGACAAACTGCAAATGAGAAGCAAAAATAACTGGCTGCATTTAACCAAACAGCAGTTCTTTACACCATTACTTCTGTGCCATCGGTTGGTGCCTGCCCATTGCATAGGTTTGGAAAATGAGACAGAACTTCTTACCCTTCTGGAGTTGATCTCTTTCACATAAAGTGGAAGGAGGAACTCAGACACTCCCTCTAATCTGATGCCCTCTTTGGTTACGCGGAGAGTTCCCATGCCATCCTGAGGGACAGAGAAAAAGAGAGTTTGTCATGTTCATGCAAATATATAATTGTTTAACAGCAGATTTATATTATGAACGATTGTTTTCTCTGATTATTTTTCACTGTAAACCATACTGAGTTCATGGAAATGGGATCAATGCTGAAAACAGTTGTGCTGCTTAATATTTTTATGTGAACTAATAAATTTTTTCAGGATTTATTTGAAATTGGAAAAGGTCTAATCAACTGTCCAAAAAAAAAAAAAACCTTACTGATCCCAATGATTTACACTCTTTTTCATCTTATATTTCAGCATATTTGTTTAGTTCTTTTCTCATCAAAATTCTTTATAACAGGCCTCTGATAAAACGCCTCATGTGTGTACAGACACGCATTCAGTCTTTAGCAGGTTCAGCATTAATACAAAAGGAACTGGGAGTTTCTTTGCATGTAGCGTTTTTGTGCTTTACATTGTGAAGCATGAATTAGTTCGATTTATATGTCCTTGCTTTTTTGAACGAACACTCTTCTGCCTGTAGAGAATGGAAGAATATGAGTCAAAATGTTAAAACAAATATGAATCAATTTAGCTTTAGAGATAACTAAACCAGTTTACTCCCACGTCTCTGTATTCTGCTAAATGTATGTAAACACTTAGATGCGGCAGATTGTGGATTTAAGCATCTCTCAAAAGCAGTTTCTCTCTTCAATTTGGGTTGCACAAAGAGGAGCCCCACGGCTATTTTCCATCTTCCTTTCTCCCTATCTACCTCTCTGCTTCCCAAATGTCATATTCTCTCTTTCTTCACATCTTTTTTTTCCATCTTCCCTTCCCGTCATGTTCTCAGCAACCAAGAGACTACAGTACCGACGTCAAATGACGTCAAACTTCAGTCCACACTGTTCATATTTCTAAAGAGACTGGACGTTGTTGGAAGTGAAAGAGAGCATTTTTTTTTTGAGCAATACAATTCTAAAAGTGGTCTTTTTTTCCAACTATTCTACCTTTTTATTGTGTTGACCTATCTCCTTTTAACCTATTCATTTTATCTCTCGAGAGTACATTGTGTTCTTGGGCAACACTAATGAGTCAGATACTAGAGAAGTTGATTTCATGGTTGGCTCTAAAAGCATTGTTTCAGAATTAGCACATCGAGCATTATAATTACTGCATGTGAAAGCACTGCCAGAAGATGGGGACTTCAAGTCCTGTTCCTGCACCATTTCAGGTAAACTAAAAGCTTGAGCTTGAAAGGTGGACTCTGTTAACCTCATGTTATTCTTCCTGAAACTAGACCGTGGCACTGCTGTCAAACACGAGTTTAAAGAGAGAACAATGAACACCTGCAGCAATATATATATATATATATATAAAACATATAAAATATAAAACATTGAAATGCATTATAGCCATTGGATAGTCATTGATGGGACAAAAGCCTATGCCAATATTGCCCCCCCCCAATTTTTTATGAGCTCTTGCCTGGATTAGAAATGATAGAAAATTGCTTTATAATGAATGTATTCTTTACCATGAAAATACACTACCTTTTATTATTATTATTGTTATTATTATTATTATTATTATTATTATTATTTATTTAATTTTTTTAAAGGTATAAACTTTTCTTCAGCAAGGAGGCATTACTTTAATCAAAAGTGACAGTAAATACATTTATAATGTTAAACAAATCTCCATTTCAAATAAATGCTGTACTTTTAAACTTTCTGTTAATCAAATAATAATGAAAAAAAAATCACAGTTTCCACAAAAATATTAAGCATCACAATAGTTTTCCAAATTAATTATAATAAGAAATGTTTCTTGAGCACTGAATTAAAATTATATAATTATTTCTGAAGGGTCAAGCGCAACACTGAAGATGGAGTGATGGCATAAATTACATTTCAAAATATATGACAACAAAAAAGTTATTTTAAATTGTAATAATATTTCACAGTATTACTATTGTTGTTGTATTTGCAATTGTATATTCTATATTGTATATTGGAGCCTTGGTGAGCACAAGAGACTTCTTTCAAAAATATTTAAACATTTTTTTTTTTTCATCCCAAACTTTAAAATGGTAGGGTATATTAATTCATGTGTTTTACATTACATATCACATATTAAATTATATTACGCAATCTAAGAATGTTGGGATTAAACATTTATGTTTTGTTTTCAGTTGGCCTTTGGTTAGCAATCTAACATCTACTAGCTTAGCATAATGCTAACTGTTTAAGAAATGCTCTTTAATTCTCTAGAACAAGACATCTTTATAACACACTAGGGGAACAGGTTTCTGTGGTGTGATAGGATCTTGCACAAAATCCTGAAAGGGTACGCTGGCACATTTTCACCAAAGAAAAGGTTCTTAGCAAAAACTGGTTTTGAATTGGTCCATTAAACCCACAGGCCTCAAACCAGGAACCAATAACATCAGTGATAATGACCTCAAAACATCAACGATGTGGCAACAAAACTAAACAACTCCTGTTATAACAAACTGGTCTACAATAAGTGTCCAATGAATGTCAATGTGCCTTCAGCTGACGGACTTCTTTCCCAGTCAGTCTGATATTCAATATTTTATTCACAAATATCGTGTTATCTGCTAATTGTATTTGTTTATATTAAATAACTAGTCAACTTTAATTAAGTGGCATTGAAATGTGGGCTGGTTCTCTTTGCAGTAAAACAAAAGGGGTATTCATGGTGTCAGTCTGGGCCAGTTCAATACAGACATTCTGTCAATCAGTGGCCACTTTGGGAGATTCAGGAAGTGACAACAGTGTCAAGCGAGGCCTTAAGGCTTATAACTTGCTTGTCTTTTAGTACCATTACAGCTTGCATTTCTGCTTCAACTGGCGTGACAGCGGTTTGTTACCATCAACTTCCTCGACAGCAGCGGCCATCCGAGTTGCTGTTCTCTCAGCTAACATTTTCAATTTCAGCACTTCTTTCTGTCATGATCAACTGAGCGGCTTCTGCTGATCACGCTGGACTGATCTTGTTAAGACCAAACATCTCTGTGACATAAGGGCAAGAAAAGGGAAAGTGGGATCTCCTATAATATCAAAGGTGCTATATATGAAGCTACAGTGGTGTGCTTGTGCTACAATGTTCATTCTCTTGTCATTCTCATCACAGGTGCCTGTACTTCCATTCATGACACAAACTGCATTCTAAAAGGATCATTCATCAAGCTCTTCATCAGCTCTGCAGACATAAATGTGTACTCATCCAGAGTAATTTTTAAATACAGCACAAGTGTGAATTAACCATTTCCACGTGAACAATCAGCATCATGTAAACAGACATACAATCATCACTTCAGTGTGTCAGCTGGCTGTTTCATAGCAATAAAGTGACATTTAATTATTTATAGGGGATTCGATTGGCTGTGAGTCACACAGAGTAGGAGTTTATGCTATAATTACTGAGTTTAATTTTAGATATGGCACAATATGTTCTCATAATATAAGTATAACTATAAAACATAAAAAGTATATATATATATATATATATATATATATGCAAAATATAGATGCAAATATATAGATGTAAAAGCCTCTAAGTACGTCTGACGTTTTTCTTTAAAATTAGCATTTCTTTCTGGCTACTATGTATATGTTTCTATGTAAGTACTGCTACTTCTGAATGGGTTGAGGCTGGAATTTAGCGCATTTGAAGTGAAAGTACTTGATGAACTTATACTATGTGTGGAGAGCATTCACTCAGCGTTACTATATGCAACATGGCTCTGATATTCAACAACACATCTAAATTACAGAATGGTGTATACATTTGCGTAGACATTGATTTGTACAAAATCAATGTAAATGTGTGTGTGTATATATATATATAGTGCTGGGCAAAAATTAAAATTTTTAATCGCGATTAATCACATGATTGTCTGATTATCACATGATTAATCACATGATTGTCGAGATTAATCGCATTATGCACAAAATTCAATAATGCATTCAAAGCAAAGTAGAGTGTTTTTCATTTAAAAGTACTGCTATATGAGCAAAAGTGCAATAATATTTGGTTTGCAAACACTTTAAACAAATAAGGTGCTTTTTTACAGCAGTATTCCTTTTACATAGTGGCAGTTAAAATATTTCTTGTAAATCTATCGGGAGCATTCAGGTGAGTGCTGCTGCAGTCTTAGGCCCTCCCCAAACGCTCCCATTGGTTGAGACGCGTGATGACACCCATCCCAAGCCAGTACTGATCAACAACCCTCCCCTCCTGTGACCCATGGTTTGTCTGTATGTGAATTCAAAGCCAGTGAGCAACGGACTTTCATAATAATAAAAAACAGCGTTAACGCGATAAAATATTTGTCGGCGTTAATCACTTAATGCGTTAACGCTATAATAACGCGTTAACTTGCCCAGCCCTAATATATATATATATATATATATAATTTTTAATATTTTACATTTTACATAAATGCACACTAATGTAATATAACGTACTCGGTTACTAAAAGCTCAGAGTCCAGAGCCTCGATCATAACATTATAACAGGCTCCTTCCGAGTAGAGACCTGCACTATCGCGGGACCCAACGCAACAGAGTGCGGAGCGGGACAACACCGGGCGAGTCCGGGTGTGGGTGGATAGACACTTGTGTGTGCGGGATGCGGGAGAATAAGTGTGTACTCACACTAGGCGTTTTGAACCTGAGCGCTTGACCCCCAAAGCCCGGTTCGTTTGACTAGTGTGATCGCTCTGTGCCGTGCTCGGGCATGGTTCGTTTAGTCGTCCATGGCTCGGTTGGAGTTTGTCTGTATGTGAATTCAAAGCCAGTGAGCAACGGACTTTCATAATAATAAAAAACAGCGTTAACGCGATAAAATATTTGTCGGCGTTAATCACTTAATGCGTTAACGCTATAATAACGCGTTAACTTGCCCAGCCCTAATATATATATATATATATATATAATTTTTAATATTTTACATTTTACATAAATGCACACTAATGTAATATAACGTACTCGGTT